CTTTAATTTAATCTTCCAAAGAATTCGAGTATAAAATGATTTATTCAGATAACCAGGGAATAAGGAGATTTCACATAGATGTAACAAGTAAGAGAGAAAGAGTTGCCCAGTGAAAACTGGCTTAAATAAAGATGATGATTTAAACCAGGTATGGTTTGTGTAGTATAATGTATACAGTAGAACATAGAAGAAATCAATACATGAGGTCTGGACAAATTTTCAATGATGTGTATGGTAATTACTTCTTCTATGTTCAAAAGTATTAATTACACCCTACCCCACACAACACCTATAGCATTGGATATTCTAGAAAACAATACTCCTGAGAAACATACAGATCACCAAAAACATGCTTGCAGACATAGATGTTTAACCAAATTCTCTTTGTGGCAAATGTGTGTTCAAGTTAGATTCTGTGAAAAAAACCCTACATCAATTTAATACTTGTCTCTCTCAGGAATCAAATCTTACTGGAAGAAATTGCTGTATTGGTTGAAATCAGACAACACCTCTTAACACATTAGCTTGGGAAAAAAATAACACTTTTATTATTACAACATTTATGTCTTCAATCTGCAAGCATGCAGGCTATTTACCAAATTAATAGCCGAAATCATTACATTTTCATTACTAAACTTTATTACAAGTTAGTGAGAAATCTTTATCGATTTTATCTGCCTTAATAGTAGGTTCATATAACTACACATCAATATTAAAGAGACAGTTAACTATGAATACAAAATCCACACTCCTAATCTGAGAGAGACAAGATTCCTACATAGGTTTTCTCCTGTCAGTATCTGAAAATATGGACATAAAGATAGTCTAGATCATTACTATAGGCTGTGCAAAGATCCTTCACATTTTCATTCAACAAATATGAAGGCAAAATTTTCCTCATTGCATACTGTATATTACTGAATATCTTCTGAAGCCGGATACAATGCTGTGAAATAAGACTGAACACTCATTTTATTTTATCTTCTAATCAACATGAATGCAATTTTATTTCACTATTTCCAATGATACAGGTATAATGTTTGTATTTCAAATAGAATACATAAACTGATTTCCCACATGAACATAAACCATTCCAAAATAACCTATATCCTTAAACTAATCAGACCTGAATAATACTGTTGTTTCTCCTGGAATTTCTAGGGATGCTGCCTGAAAACACATTGATTATGAGAGCTATATTTAGTCCTTTACCCTACACCTTCCATCAACTCCCTGAAGCAATTCCATTGTATAGAATGTTTTATTTGTTAATCTTGTATATCTCTTCAGACGTAATAATTTCACTTGACAGCCATCTGCGTGACTGCAACCAATGTGGATCTTCCCCTTAACCATTCTTCATTAGTAAAGAAAAAGCCATGATTCATTTAAATTGATTTATTTAAATGCTGAAATGCATGGTCTTTACATGCTACCTTGACCAGTGCTTGTATATCTCTCAAAGCATGTTATACCACATATATCCTGTATATGAATTTAGCTTTTTACGCTTATAAACTAGTATGTAGTTTAAACTGCTTAGATCTTTAAGTTAAACTCACAGCTGGTTAGGTTGTTATATGACATAAAATTCTAACTAAGTTAAAATAACAGCTTACAGCAGCTCTTGTCTGTATTTATTGATGTCAAATTATTAATGATTCGGAATCTATCTCAACATGTCCAAGTTTTTTCTTTAAATATTCTACAAATCATGATTGCTTTAGAGAAAGTTTACAATTAAAATCAACAAAATCTGAAATTTTAAATAGGCCTTGGTGGTTGTAAATACTTTTCTTATATTCAGATTCAATGGGCACTATTTAGAACGATCTTTTAATATAAATATTATTTCCACTGTCACTGTGACATACCAGTTTCATAGACACAGCATTTCTTTTTGCAGCATTTAGATTTCCCCATCGAGACTGATTCATGGCAATTGCAGAAAATTTCACAAGATTATGATGTCATTGGAAAAAAATATGGGCATGATTAATATTTGTGTAATGATATTATAACTTTGTCGAGTATTTTCTAGAATTACTAAATCTACGCACATTAGCAAGAAATTAGAATGGTGAAAATGGAAGCTTTTAGTATTGCTGATACACATAGAAAGGCTAGAAGACCTCTGTTAAATCTCTTTAATGTTGATGTAGATTTATTCAGTGTTGGTTTGAAGAAATCTCCAGATATTCTAATCAGTAATTTACTTTCTATTTATAGTCACAATAAAAACTACATCTAAAGATAAAAACACTAAAATGAATCAATAAAATGAACCCAATGTCTATGATTCCTATGATTTCTTTGATTTCTAACAAAAATAAAAAAGACAATTATAATAGTTTTCTGATGCACAAGAAACATTGTTAGTTAAAAAAACAAAAGGCAACAAATATCATACACACTTGATAGTAGGAATGTTCTAAATCGGATACCATCAAGAAGGCACAAATAAGACAAATTTTCATTGGTAAGAACTTTGGCTGTGTTGGATCCTTTAAGCTATTTCTTAATAAAACCTCTTGACAAGATATTTCTTAGATTATCTATAAGCTTATTGTGATGTACAACTGGAATAATTATATAGAGACTTGAGGACTTGAGTATTTATACTAGACATTCACATGCCAACAGACATTACAGACTACGTCCTTCATTTTTCAAAGCAAATGATCACAATGCTCTAGTTCGTTGAGTGATTTAGGCCTGCTATTTCCTATTTGAGCTACAGTTTTCTCCAATAGAGCTACTATACTATTGATATGAATAGTCTGTTTCAGTAGGAGCTACTAATCAATTATATTCATAATCAAGGATATATCTGAGGGAAAGGGGGCACAATTTCCATTTCATCCAGTGAGGAGAAGTGCCGAAAATAATTATGTAACTAATAAAGAAAGTGCCAAGAGCATATTCATTCAGTAAATGACTTCAATGATTCAAAGGTTCAAACATGGTTGTCTGAGGATTCAAAAGTCTCAGCAAACATGTGGAATGTCCATGGTGAAGAACATAAACGTACCAAAATTCATGTGGAGGGATGAATCATGAAATTCAACAACATCGTTGGAAAGTATCACACAAAAGGGAAAGAAAATGACTTTATAAACAATTTTTTGTCAATGGTAGCCCAGAGAGGGAAGAAAATTAGCTCAAATTGGAATCAGCTCTTATTGGAAGACTATTTACTATCTCTCAGTAAATAGTAGAATATATTATTTTGAAGAAGTAATTAATAAGAATTATATAAGATTAAGTCAGTATATATACTATAAGAGCTGTACATGTCAGTTGATGTATTGAAGAGATCACTACCTAGGCCTACTGTATATACACAGTTAATAATATAGACACTTCATATCATCTAGATTCCATAAAACTCAGCTTTTTCAAGTCACTTCATGATGAAATAAATTTTGCAAACTCTGACAAATATGACCATCCACGAATGTTATCTATTAAAGGGATTGTAGAGAAGTTTTCTAGCCTTTTTATGTGTATCAGGGACATGTTTGACTTCTATTAGGGACATTCCAATTGTTCGTCTGATGAACAATATACAATAATAAATAATGATGAGAATTTCAATATTTTAATCAATATCTCATATTCACACTGCACTGTCCAAATCCTAGATCCAAGATAAACTTTGATAAGATATTACTTCCGAACATCTTCAGAGATGAGGAAAAATGCTCATAAAATAGGGCCTAGTTTTACAGTCTCTACACTAGACGACAACTTTCAAAATAAATATTGAAGGCTAGAATAGAGGCAGATGTTATGGTCTAATAAGATATTTGATATCGTCCGTGTAATAAATCTATGTGATATTATTTATATTGATATTAAAGATGTAATTATTTGACTATACTATAATCTTCACTTGATAACTTGTAATGATCACTTGCTATAACTGGCTATGTGGTCTCCAAGTTTACTTTTTCTGTCAATCAAAATAATATTTGTATCAAGATTGTGACTTATCACTTTGTAACTGGTTTTATATCCACCTTCAGGTTATTGATTTATCTGTATTTGCCCAGAAAAGCTAGAATGAAACATCTACGGTATCAGTGACAATGCCAACCTCCCGAAAACGTTGGAACAAATAGGGGTCAGACTGCCAAGGTTCAGATTTAAAATACTGTAGCTCTGTGGAAGCTCACAGATGCAAGCCTGTTGATGAAATCAACCTTGACTCATTAAGGGGTAGAGAATGTCAGTATATTAATATCTCTATACAGATAGCTATGCCCACACACACACACAAACATATGTTGATTAATTACCAAAACCCTACATATATTTACATGTACCATAATAAAATATTTTCACTGTTAAAATAGTGCTGAATACATCAGTTGTAGAGTGATATAGAAAAATTAAAACAGAACGTGAAACAAAGTATAGCCTAATATTATAGTATTCTACCTGAGCTGTGCTTGGCTTTAGAAACAGAATATTAAAATGATAAGACTGTTTTCAGAACATGTTCACAATGAGTGAAATACCTTGCCAGGTAAAATAATATGTGCCTTATGACAACTTTGTTTTTAAATATGAACATTGGCAGATTTGTAACAATCACCAGTATGAAATATATGAAATATTCAACCTTCAGTCATACACTTCTATTGAACTTTTGGGGTTTTCAATAGGGATCTTACTAATGATAATTATCAATTTAAGTCTCGCGCACATGTGAGTCAACAGCTCAAGAAATTCGTTGTAGGCTTCTGACACCGATTTGGACAACATGACAGCTTAACTGCATTCTATTGGCCATTAATAAAATCTTGACTGAGCTATTGTCTCATGTTGAATGCATGCTGAGTTAATCGTCATTCGTGCCATAAATATCAGGATAGACTTCTGATTTACTGTCTCACAAAGCAAACAACGCAGCAAAAATTACCCGCAAGATTTCAGTTACTCATGACAGATGTTAAGCTGTTGACTCATGTGTACACCAGACTTTAATAATAACACTACTGACCTTCTGTAACAAATCTAACAACGACAGGCTTCTCACTACCAGCTACAAATCCAAATCCTTTTTCTGGATCTCGTAATAACTGTACTTGTCGTGGTTTAGGTGGTTCTATATAGTCTATATCATCCCTAGGATCATCTCTAGTAGTATACTTTTCAACATGACTGAAATAAAAAAAAACATCACTTATTCTTTAGTCAAATATATTTTACCATATTGAAAAACATATTATCATGTGTGTGTTTTATTCTATTTTGGAACAATGTCTTTTCGTGGCAGTGGAATAGCTCAGTCAGTTGAATTGTTGTCTGCTAGTCTATTAGGCGCCGTGGATTCGAATACTCAACGTAATTCTGATGCCTGTGCCAGTGCATTTGAGAGTCTGCTCTCACCCTTTAATATTAATATGTCTTTTAGGACAAATGACTTCTTCTGAATTTATGTCAATCAATCTGTTTCTTATTGGCATAGGAATAGCAGCCATTAAAAAATGTTCTTCCAAAAATAAATAATTTTAAGCAGATTAGTAATCAGGCCACTAGCAAACATACAAATCTTGTTTCATGGTCCCCCTGTAAAGGTTATTTTGCTATATTCATACTTTAGTATTCAGTGATACACATAAATAATCTTGCTTTTCCAGAACACTTATACCACTCTGAGACTGAGTTTGTCAAGTTGTCACATTGTCTACATGGTTGATTTGGAATATTAATTTGTTAATAAAATATAATATATCTTCACCAAAACACATAATTATTTGCAAAATTTTAAATCCAAATTAATGAATATCAAAACCATAAAATATATGAATGAATAAAACTTCAAATTGAAACTGGTAAAAACTATAAATCTCAAACCTACAATATCATATTTAGTTATTACATTGATCCAATTCTTATCATACAGATACTCTCTCTTACTCTTTATTGTCCTTACTTCACAATAACATTACACAATAATAATCGTTGTATTAATTTAAGAGGTCTACTGGAGACTAGACAGGTTGTTTGATGACATGTTGACCAGTGGTCAAGGGAGATGATTACAGGTCAGTATAATTAATTATTAAGGAGTTAATCTTGTTAAAGAATTCAGTATGATTAATTGTTAGGTGTAATTACTGAGATAAATAAATAATTATAATACCAAGGAGAATGAGACAAGATAGTTCTTTCCCTTTTTAGTTAGTATGGATTAACAGACTTGAAACACTCAAATACATTATGTTATTTATCTACCAATGTCTTTGTGGTTTTGTTTTTATAATATCAAGTTTTGTAAGAGAAATGGAAATGGAGTTATATTTGTTTGCATCAATATGAGCTTATGAGTGATTATATGAAGAATTAGATACTATGTCAGGCTCTCACACCTGCATCACTGACTAGAAGAAACCAAGTTGAAAGTATTACATCAAACCATGTTGGGATAGGATAGTACCCTGGACCTACAGGTTAGCAAGCCTGGATTCCCATAAAGTTCAGTAGAAAGTAAATAGTTTTGTAATTGTCACATTCAATTAAGATATTGCACTCATAAAAAATCACCTGTAAATCCATGAGTGCATGAAAAATGTACGCTAAGAAATGAAGTCCCACTTTTTTTTTAAATTTTGTTTTTTCATTTCCAACTTTCAATATTGTGACACATATTTGCTTTGTTGAATCCATAATTCCAAACATAAAAATTCAGCCTTATTTGAAGCAGAACTCAAAAATGTTGTTATTTTGATGGAATTCATAAATTTTCATATCAGTCATATTGATCCATCTGTATTTTTTTGTAAATCAAAGCCATTCATAGACAACATTCCTTTCTTTACAATCTGACATGTACAAGTATGAGAATTTAAACACTCAACCTTTTTAGAGAATTGCACTTTGTGGACTTCTATCTGATATAAACACATTTTACAATGGTAAAGTGTAGTTGTTAATCTATTTATTTCTTTCCATGACATAAACATAACTTCCTCTCAGAGAAATATCTCCAGAAATATCTTCTTTTATAAAAAAGAGAACTGTTTTGACCAGAAAAGTATAACCTGTCCAGAGATATCCCAATAATAATTACTTGGTAATCTTGGTATAGTTTGATAGCTTCAACATAACTTCCAAAATATTAATTACACATCTTTTAATGTAAGTAATTAGAGGACAATCTAATAATAGTTTGTGACAATTTTTGATATCTCTTCTCCTTCCCGTTATATTTGTTTCTACCAATGGACCAAGCTTCTTTGACTTTTGATTCAGGAGCTTTGATATCAATATGAAAGAAGTAAGTATTTGCAACATGGACTTGAGGTTGGAGTCTCACAAATGATCTAAACAGATACAACTTGTAAAACTGCAGTAGGAACACAGCCTGGAACGCAGAATAATAACATGTTTCAGGTTCTATTTTAACATTTCTAGTTGTACTAATTTTAAATGTTCTTTTAAATCAATTGTAATTGTAAATAAAAGTTCGTCAATACAGATGAAATATTACATATCATATCATGTGTACAGGTCGGAAAAAAAAAATCTGGAGATTGGGTGAAAAGTCGGGAGATTTTTCCAAAGCGCGTTAATTCGTGATTTGAGACTCCAAATTGATTGTTTTTTTCTTTTTTTTTTCAAATAAGCTTTAAGCCTTTTAAATTAATTAAATTGATCATAGGCCTACATGACACAGTTAAAATTAACAATCTATAATTATGGATAATTCTAGAAATAGTGCCTGATATTTCAAATTTAGGGGACGAAAAATAATTTGATATTTTCATTATCATTCTTCAGTAAGCCCTATTGATTGAATCAAAAATAATGTCAAGGTGAAATGATGTTTGAAAACAAGAAAGCAAGCATGATCCCAGCCCTCTAAATTAAATGGTACCGGTAGGCATACATGTAATATCATATTAAAAATCAGTATGTTCTGAAAGCAATATTTAGTAAATAATATGTACTGGCAATGTTACTTTTTCCAAAGATGTAATTCATGACATCTTAAATATCTCCAGTCCGATCATTAAATACTTTTCCTGCAACACTCTCACGAAGTATTGAACTGAATTTTCCGCTTCCATTTTGACGTTTTTCGGAATGGTAAGACTTGTAATAAGTAAGCCCGTTATACAGGCAATCAAATGAATGTTTACAGGCTACAGTAAAATTACAAAACGATTTTATGAAACGAAGTTGGAGTTTACATAAGAATTAGACATCCAGTCGCGTATGATAATCTACCAATAATGAAAAATAATTCTGAAACGATGTCTATGTTATATAGGCCTATTATAGACCTCACAGATTAACAGTATAAAATACTATAAAGACTTCAATATTTCTTTTTTTAGTAAAAGTAGGGCTACTGTAAAATTTATTATAAAAATGAAAGTAGAATCTATCGGATGTTGTTATAAAAAGTGTGTCATGATGAGATTAACGCATGTTACCGGCAATTAAGATACAAGTGATGATAGATATTTTGTTGATTTATGGTAGAGAATTTGAACATTGATAACGGTAGGTCCTGTGAAAATTGGATCAGGAAAAAAAACAAAAATCGGTAGAATCGGGTATCCCGCCGGTAGAGCGGTAGACAACATGCAAAAGCGGTAGAAATCCGACAACATCGGTAGATTACACATGTATGTTATCCCCATTTACGCTTGATTAAAGTGAACCATATTTGGTGTGGCTCATCTGTATTGTAAGTCTGAAACATCTGCCTTTATTCCAGCCTCTGCACAGTTTTCACTGCACCAGAATGATGATTCATTAAAGTACAAATCTGCTCTCCAGTCAGTGGAGGCAAAAAAATGCTGCCTCAACAATAGTTTTGTAAGTTTTATATTTTTGTCCTGGTTCTGCCTACTATATGTAACAGTGAAGCTTTTTTCCTGTAGCCTTGTGTATTTGATAGATGTTTCAATCTTGTCACCCCAAACAGGAATAGCAGCTTCAGTCTCTTCAGTCTAAGTAGTTCCTCGTTGGGCAGACAATTTAAACACGATTTGTAGATCCTGCAAATGACGTCACATGGTCAAGGTCACTATATAAATCATGCACACAACTCTTCAAGTAAGTTGCACTAATACCCTATCTCTTCTTGTGACCACCTCTTAGTTTTTGTCATTGTAAATGCTTAAGGTGTCAAAATAAAAAAAAGAGCAAGAACAGTGGTCCTGCTTCAGTAGCCATTGAAGATAGGTTTAAGAATATAGGGTATAGTTCATGGAAATTGACGTTGAGTAGTTAAAATACGTGTTAAAATTCTGAAGTCTAATTGAATTTAATGCTGTCAATATTACTATACAGTCATCTGTGATGGTTTTATTTCTGAGAATTAGTGGAGAGTGGAACGTCTAGACCTTATGATTCGGCTATAGATTACTAGAACAGAATAGAAATGTAATTAGAAAATGAGTGACAAGTGGGAAGCAAAGAGTGATATCTAGTAGATTAACATAGTCAAGATATGCAAGAGAAAATCTTTAACTGTCTGTAACTGTCTGTAAGAAGAACAGTGTGATCTGCACAGTCCAAAATACAAATGAACTGAGTAAGAAGACCTTCATAAAATGCTTATTCTATATTTTTCTAATTCCATTAGTTAATGAAGTCCATTCACTTCATTCAATACTTTGTAGAGACAACTTTATGGAACACCAATAGATGGTTAAAATTTTAGAAAATGTTTCAAGATTTATTATTATTATTCTATAAAGCTGTGTCTAGGTTGTTACATTTGCTAAATACAATTTGAACACTTCAAGTTAGAGCTTGTTTGTAACATCCAAAAGGTATAAGCACATTTGAATGAAAGTGGGACTGAATTTAAACCAATTTATGATCTCACTAAATCAAACATTATTGATGTTAAAAATCACTGTGCTTAACAGATAAAAGACATAAATAAGCAGGATTAATGTAGCTTAAGACTTGTTTTTAAAAAATCTGCTATATTGAAAATTTAGAAAAAAAACTAAAATATTTGATCTAATATAAAAGAGTTATTTTAGTATATGAAGTAATGATCTGGTTTGTCAGCGAGGTTTATTTACAGTCATAATGAGGTCTAGAAACTGTCAATGTTATCAGACTTTCTACAAAATTAGTTTGATTTCACTTTTAGACAAATTATTTTTCTATATAAGTCATTAAAGTTTGTC